GGGCACATCTGGGTGCTGCCACATCTGGCTGTGCCCCTGGGAGGTGACCAGATGTGATGGTCCAAAGGCAGGAGCAGCCTCTGCCAGAGGGGGTGATGGGGCAGGGGGACACCCCGGACCTCCCTGTCCCCCTTCCCATCCTGCTCCTGCCTCTGGCTGCTCAGAGCCTGGGAGCTTCTCAGGAACCCTCCAGCTCCTTGGGCTCATCAAGATCTCATCGAGAGAACCCAGAGGCTGCAGCTGCTGCTCTGCCTTAAGGGCAAACTCCCCCCATTTCAGACCTCCAAGGGGGTTCCCGAAGCCAGGGAAGCCCTGGGAGAGCAGAGAGACCCAGAAGGGCTCAGCAGCTCCTTGAGAGAGAGGGAGGTGGCAGGGGCCTCGCCGGGCACCCAGCAACACAGAGAAGGGCACAGGAAAGGCAGCAGGTGGAGCTTCCCGGAGATCCCAGCCCTCTGCTCAGCAGGAGGAAGGACGGGAATGGGACAGGATGGAAGGAATGGAAGCAGGTCCCTGCTGGGGGTAGCAGGAGACTTCTCACCGGCCCCTCCCCACGTGTCCAGGTGCCCTTCCAGAACAGATCCAGGGCTCTGGATTCGGGACCAGTCCAGCAAGGACACTGCACAAGCCCCGTCCAGGGCAATAGGGCTGCTCCTGAGAAGCTGCCCAAGCAACCAGCTGCTCAGCTGGGGGCTGCTGCTGCAAAGAGCAAGAGGAGGTGGTGGTGAGAGCTGAGACCATCCTCAGGGGAACTGAAGGTCCCATATGCCAGCCAGACCCTTGCACAGGGAAGTCTGCTGCCTCCCTGGAGCCAGGGAAAGGGACAGAACCAGGAAACTTCCTGGTCTGATACGGCCCTTGGACTATGATCCTCTTTGGAGCTTTCAGGTGGGTAGTGAGGAGGTGGGGAAAAGAAGTGTGAGAGTCACAAAGATCTTAGGGTGTTGGGACAACTGGTCAGGGGCTCAGGAGCACAAGTTGTCTCTGTCCCTCCAGTCGTGGGGAACAATGAGGGGGTTAATAAGAAGACCTCACAGATCAATGTCTGGCTCCAAAACTGGTGCTGCCAGCAGGACTTGGGGTTTTTTGATCATGGTTGGGTTGGCAGGACAGCAGCCCTGCTGGCACTGGGTGGGAAGCCCCTGTCCCACGGGGGAACTAGGGCAGGAGTTAGTGGGGTCATTGGTGGGGCTTGAAACTAGGTTGGAAGGGGCTGGGGGATAAATCAGGTTTCCTCCAGATGAGGCAGGGGTGGGTGGTGGGCAGGTCAGCTGGTCAAGCAGCCTCCCTGGAGGCCCAGCTGAGATGCCTTGAGACAAGTGCAGGCAGCGTGGGAAGGAGCAGGAGGAAGGAGAGATGAGGCTGAGCCTGCAGGGCTGGCAGCTCATGGGCATCACTGAGACCTGCTGGGAGGGCTCCTATGGCTGGAGTGTCAGAAGGGAGGGTTAAAACTCTTGAGGAAGGACAGACAGGGAGATGGGCTGGGGGTGTTGCCCTCGATGTCAAAGAGCAGCTGGAGGGCATGGAGCTCTTCTGGGGATGGGTGAGGAGCCAACAGAGCTTCTGGGGTAAGACTAAGAGGAAGAAAGGCCAAGGGGACACTGGGGGGGTGTTTGCTACAGGCCCTAAATGAGCAGGATAATAATATAGATGAGGCACTATAGAGACAGGCAGGAGCAGCTTCACATTCACATGCCACGGTCTTCATGGGAGAATCCAACCACCCTGACATCTGTTGGAAGAACAACTCTGCTAAACACAAACGATCCAGGAGCTTCCCAGAGTGCAAGGATGATAATCTCCTTCTCCAAGGAATCAAGGAACCAACAAGAAGTGCTGGATCTTGTCCTCACCACCAAGGAAGGGCTGGTGAGGGATGTTCAGCTCAAAGGCAGCCTGGGTTGTAGTGACCACAGAATGGTGGAGCTCAAGATCCTTGGGGCAGCAAGAAGCTGCTGAGCAACTGATGCCATTTACCTGGATTGGTGCAAGGTGTTTGACACTGTCCCACATGACATCCTGGTCTCCAAACTGCCAAGGCATGGATTTGACAGATGGACCACTCAGTGGATCAGTAATGGGCTGGATGGCCCCACCCAGGGAGCTGTGGTCAATGGCTCAGTGTCCAAATGGAGGCAGGTGACAAGTGGTGTCCCCAGGGATCAGTACTGGGACCAGTGCTGTTTGACATCTTTGTTGGAGACAAGTGGGATTGAGTGTCTCCTCAGCAGGTTTGCTGATGATCCCAAGCTGGGTGGTGTGGTTGAGACCCAAGGGGGAAGGGATCCATCCAGAGGGAGCTGGACAGGCTGGAGAGGTGGCCAGTGCCAACCTCATGGAGATCAACAAGGCCAAGTGCAGGGTCCTGCCCCTGGGTTGGTGCAAGCCCAGGCACCAATCCAGGCTGGGGGAGAATGGCTGGAGAGCAGCCCTGAGGAGAAGGGCTTGGGGGTGGGAGGAGATGAGAAGCTGGACATGAGCCCCCAGTGTGTGCTCAGAACCCAGAGAGCCAACCCATCCTGGGCTGCATCACAAGAAGTGTGGCCAGCAGGGCCAGGGAGGGGATTGTCCCCTCTGCTCTGCTCTGGTGAGACCCCCCTGGGGTGCTGTGTCCAGCTCTGGAGCCCTGAGCACAGGAGAGACATGGAGCTGTTGGAGAGGGTCCAGAGAAGGGCCATGAGGATGATGCAAGGGCTGGAGCAGCTCTG